AAATTTAAAAAAAAGACGTGAGGGGAAGTGCGTACTGATAAAAATAATACTATACTGCACCTTTCCTCCTGCCTTAAACTTGAAACTTCAATAACTTCAAAAATAGTTATCCAAAACTGGTAATTGACCAGTCAACATTTTTAGTAGAATATTCTTAATTTAAAAAGCTTAAATAGTATATATGTTAGATACTATTTAAGTTTCAAAAGTTGTTATCAAAAAACCTAGTTGGGGGGGGGGGGGTAGAAACATAATAATTTGTGGACAACTGAGATCACATCACATAAAAACACGATGAAAAAAAAAATTTAATTGTTAATTAAACTCAGTGAGATATTGAGTGGCTCATGATAAAAAAATTACCCTGTATATAGGGAAAGTATCACATGCGAAAATACTATTTACTATCGCGGTTGTGTATAATATTAATGAAGCATATTGTCGACGTTACAGGAATAAACTGTTTGAACAGACTCTACCGTCCGTAAAAGGGTAAGAAACAAGGGTCGGAGTCGAGTCGAGCATATTGTATACTGGTCCCCTATCACTTCCGTTATGCTAGGTATATGAAACTAGTTTGTTTTTATATTTTTTTTTTTTACCAATCAATTTTTTTTTTTTTTATAGCCTTTATTTGCAATATGACGGCTCAACGATTAAAAAAATCAATTCCAAATGAAATCTGAACACAACGTACACCCTATAAAATATTATTTTAATATCACCACGATCTTTGTACCTTAACGCAGGGTGCGGACTACTGTTGTGTATTAAAATCGATACTGAGCTTGGCTTTCTGGCCCGTTTGAAATTGATTTCACAAAAATATCGTGCCTCATTTATGTCGGACGGGATATAATGTTTGTCCATTAGTCATGTCCTCCTACGCCGCCGAACGAAATGAAAAAAAAAATGTTCGGGAGCTTGAGAAATCTATAGGGGTTGTGGAATTGGAATTTATTCAATTATTCAGTTCATGCAAATTTAACAGTTGTGTTTCGAAATCTGATCGCTGTCGTAGGGTCACAAAAACAAAAGTTTAAAAGTTTAATAAATGTATCTATGGTAGGTGTATATATATATGTATACGAGGCGGGTATGACTGCTGCAAAATCAATTGAATTCGTATAGTATTGTTTCAGTCGAACCGAGATAAAAGTTTACCTTTCTAGGTAGCATAGCGTTTCGTTCGGATTGGACGAAAACCCGCGGCGCTGTCAAATGCTTTCGGCTGTCAAGCCAACAGCGACTGCAGTCTCTATTAACCTATAAAGACTTTAAAACGCCCAATAAGTATATTATGTGGTATTACACAACAACTGAAACTGTAGCGAAGATATTCTATCCACCTAGTTAAATAATTGACAATTAGCCGATCTGCCGATGGTATCGAATGCGTCCGTACACTAAAATGACCACAAACAATCGTAAAAACAAATTGGACAATATTAAACTGTTTAAAACCAACGCATACTAATCGTCTACCGTAGTAGACTTTTGAAATGGGAAGGCTTAGGTAATACACTGTATACTATAATTGAAAAGTTCCTTCAATATATAAAACGGTCATAAATAAATTTTAAAGCAAGCTAAACATATTAAACTTAATGACTTATTCAAACTATATTGAAAACAATTGCCATATTGAATAAATACTTATTAGCATTAAAAGTTATAGGCGAGAAGACATAATATAGGTTATTAGTTGACATTGATATTTTACATTATTTTTAATTTATCTATTTACGACTTAATATAAGTTTTACGACTTGGGATAAATACGGGTTAATAGGTTTAAGATTAACTAATAAGCCAAGTTTATTTTTATTTTATGTTTGAGACGCTAACTAAAAAGTATTAACTCAGTTGAATTAACTTAAAAAAATGATTATAGATTTTAACTTTAAGGTTATGGGGGTGACTAAGAATTTTTTCTATTCGCCTTTGAAAAACACTTGATGAAAATCGCTTCTCGATTACACGATTACGAACACGGTTTATGCAAATAAGTGTGTGTACTGCATAATGTATTTGGTTTACTCATTTAAGTGAGTGAAATACATAAATAAGGAGCTTGACATGTGAAATAGACTCGGAGAAACGGGGTTTTCTAGAAAATTGCATCAAGTACCGCTCGTTTATATAAATTACTGCGAGACTGGAATATCTTACGACGCACTATTAAGATTTTTATTTTTTAAATCACAATACATTTTTTCGCAAAAAAGACAATGCGATCATAACTGTTTTTTAGCATCCGCTTTAATATGTTGACCATTTTCGGGGGCGCCATATAAAACCATAATGGCTACCATTACACTTGTTATCCTCTTAAGTGGTATTTTTATTTTTATTTTTGCAAACGATAAAATGTGTTTAAAGGGTTGGTCGTTATTGTCATTATTATTATTATTATACTTGCGGTGAGCATTAAGCATTCCTATAAATGGTATAAAAGCGATCCGTCATATTGGTGCGGTAAAGCACTTCAAATGGTACCTAGCATAAAATACCGTCTCTCTTCAAAACTTCATAAAAAAAAAAAATAACTTTCTGACAATAATTCTCATAATTTTATTCGCGTTGTGTAAACACGATGCGTAACACGATGATAATATTTCTTGACTTAAAATGCATTATTTTTTGGTCAACGTTTTCAAATAAAAAAATATATAATAATGGCGTGTCAGAATCTTGACTGGAAAAACAACGTCACGCAAAACAATATTCTTGTTCAGCTTTTAAATTAAAATATTCGCGGTAATAGAAATGGAAAAAAAAGTGTCATCTTTATAAATTATAGGCACTTGTGAGTTATATAAAAATATACTTTAATATGAAAATGTCGATTTTTGCGATACACTTCAACACTAAGTAGCAGAGCACACGAGCAGAACAATACATAGTATACCGTCAAGTGTATTATAGTCTCATAGCATTTGTTGTTTCATTAGACTTGAAGTACTTGTACACGTGTACATAGTTTAAAATCCATGTCAGCGAATACACGTTCAAAGAAATGTTGTCTAATCATTTCTAATTTGTTTTGTACAAACAATAATAATCGTTGTTTGTTTAATTAATTTCCCCAGACACGCTATGCAAGTTTGCAAGTTATAATTCGTTTGGTTAAGTTCTAAGCTTGCTTTCGGATTAACGTTTGTGCCGTGTTCAGTGTTACTGCCGGGAAAACAAAAATGTTATAATACTTAATTCTCGTTTAAGGTGGAAGGTAGGGCATATTTTATAACTTTCTTGTGAACATTGTGAGTACCAATATTACCACCTATACATCCCTAATTTGTCTTATAGGTTTCAACCCCGTAGGCCCGAGTAGAATTACCCACGTTAATGTATTTTCCTAGTACGACCCGAGAGTATATACATATAATATATATATATACGGTCGACCAATCGATAGGGTTGGTTATATTTTAAGGCGATATTCCTCTCTCTGTTATCTATTTATACTGTCATTACGCACGCACAACCAAAACCTCATATATTCGATAGCGTACAACAATATTGTACCTTACCTATATTATAAAACCGTATCCAAGATTAACACTAATTACATTTTCTCGAGTAAATATATATTTTATTACTACAACCCACCACCACACGGTGAAGAAATTAAAAATATATTATTTGCTTTGTGCGGTTATGAAATGATGAGTTACAATTAAAAACCGTGCAATAACGCCATGTGGCCGAATTCTCTACACTCTAGTTAACCGTGTTCATCTTTTCTCTTGTTAGCTCTAATACCTATTGTAAAAATAAGTTACTTATTGTCTTCATTAATGTTAACCAAAACAAAATGATTTAACAAACGCATATAATATAAAATATAGAAATAAATAATTACCAATGTAGTTATTGAAACTAAAATTTAGTCAGTCGACTAAATGTTATTAAATTTAATAATTTATCATCAAGTCTTAACAAAATTAATATGGATACCGGAACTCAAACGCACAATAATTTCCAGTTCACTCGACATTTATAACTAGTACATAACGTTTAACATTTATCGAAAAATAACATTACGGTATAAATAACATACAAGGAGTTAAAACAAATAGCGGTGTTATTAAAATCCAGCTTTAATCACAAAGCACGAAAGTGCGTTTGTTCAATTATAAAAAAAAAACACACCGAGTTCAGCTTTTGTTGTTTAACTCATAAACGGCTATTGCCTGTTTTATAGATGCTAAACGAACAATAAATATTAACTAAAAACCTAACTAGTATTTAAAACGCGCCTTTTGAACTCCACAACATTAAAACGGTTTGTCGTTTTAAAGGCCAGTATTAAGTGCACACATTTTAAGTACTTACGTCAATTTTTCGACACTACTGCATTATTATTATTATACTACTCGTACCTTATACTCGGGGAAAAATATATAGTTGGATCAATTAGAATTATGGTTGATATAAAGACACAAATCACAACAAATGTATAGTTGAAATAACTAACTTAAATAGTTCGACCAACTCATTGTTTACTTGAAGCAACTATTTATTTAGTTATTGCAACTACACATTTATTTTGTCACTATATTGACCATAGTTATTTTCGTTTTTTGATCTAACTGTATATTTTGTTCCCGTGTAGGTAAATCAATACTACTGTTAAAAACCGATAGAAGCCGGTACCCGATATATATTTTATCGTTTTTTTTTTTTTTTTACAGGTTTTGAACAAACTGATGAAATCCAAAAGCCGCCAAAAAGCTGTGGTCGACTTGACGGTGGACCCGACGGGTTACGATAACGAAGCCGTCGACAACATCATCAACGAATTACTAGAAAACGAAATGGCCACAGACCAAAGCAGTGCTCGGCGGTGATTGAAATAATTATCGGATATATTACGAATAGGCCCGACGGATCTGCGTACAAGTCTCGGATGATTTTTCAAAAAAAAAAAAAAACATTGTTTTCTCCACCAAAAGCCGCTAATAATTATTTATCGTGGCAAAAAATGTGCTTACCCGTCAAAGCAGGTGGTCGTCCTGGTGTGTGTCTAAGTCGGCGTGTTCATCGCACCAACGACAATATCACTATCGGAACCGTGTGTGTGTGTGTGTGTGTGCGTGTTCTTTGGAAAACCGAAATCGAGGGACTGCCGGCCAAGACGGAACGCGGTCTGACACTGAACACTATACCGTGGCGGCTGGTCAATAACGGAATGTGCACGGCAGGGCGCCCGTCTGTCGGCCGGCATGCGCCGTGAAGACCGGCAAACAAACGCGCACGGCACCGCACGTGATGGCCATAGGTTTCGTTTTTTCCCCCCGTAAATATGACAATATTAGATTTTTTTTGTTTTAAAAATCATAGCCGACTACACCTCCCCGGCAACGCGGGTCACTTGGTCATTTGTCAACGTCAGAAATTCGGCACGCGATTGCCATGGTCGTTACAAAAGGCGCAACGTAATAACGCAATTTTTTTTTATAACAACGTCCGATATTAACGAGATTGAAAGCGGTCTGTTGTTTAGCCGTTTCGGAGACGAAAATTTAACCACTTTTTTTCCTATGCAAACCTCTTTAAAAAACCGCCCGCTCTCAATCCTCGTAATCAACAGTTAAACATCTAGTCGCTACAAAAAAAAAATGTATTTTTCTATTACCTCATACATTTGTTCCGCAAAGGTTAAATATTTATTTAAAGTTTCCTGGAAAAAAGGCCACTTGTGTACAACTATATTTTTGAAACAGATCACTTGTCGTTTATTATACCTACTTGTTGTGCATATTTATAAAATATCATATTTTTCAACTATTATTTCTTGTTCGCATAAAATGTATGGGTATTAGATTTAAACGCCTTTGCGTGCATATAATGGAAATTATTGTATAGTCCTTTTTATATTATATTATTTTGTCTTTGGCGCCAATCCCCATGATTTCTCTTCTGTGGCAGTTTGATATTTTTGTAATCAAACACATTACCTTTAATATATGCTATGAAAAAGTAAAACATATTAACGTCTATAGTTGGGAATTAAAAAAAAAAAACAAATCGTCAAAGATGGTGTGACTACATGAAAATGTCAAACAATCGAAATATGTTTAGTCGACATTTTGGGAAGTTTAGACTCAATTTTTGATCTTTTCTTACACTTAAAAATACAGTAATAGGCCCAATAGTTTAATAACTACATATTAAAAAAATATATATAACTATATATTTACAGTCATTCGTTTGACAAATAATATTAATAACAGGCAATAATGATCATTTTTTTTTTATTTGTCAATAACGGCAAACATACATTTTACATAACATTAGGTATAATATTATGACAAATTGACACCTCCCCGATAAGCATAGCTTATGGTAATGTTATAGCCATCGGTAAAGGGCGGAAAACGGAGTAATCCAATTAGGATTTGGCGACAAAGGTTTATCAGTACGGCGGGGGTGAACAAAAGGATAACAGGAATAAACCATATATAAATTATTTACCTACATACATGTCATACATATTATATCCGTAGGATACTACATTCCCCGATCCGTAGGATTAAAATATTATATTTCGCCGGTATAATAAAACTCTATTTTATGATCTCATTTATTTTTTTTATTTTTGTGTACATCATATATTATAATTTTATTTATATTTTTTATTATCATTACTAGTAGTTATATTATAACCTTGGGATATGCGATAAATTGTGTTATTATAATATTCTATTTATTTATTTTATGTGTAGTGTAAACTATTATTGTGTTCAATAAACTTTCCAATAAATAAAAAACGGTTGCGGTTGTTTTTCTAAAAGTTGTATTTCTGGCAGTTGTTTATCCGGTAGAAAACCATAAAACAGGCGGCGAGAGTCTGCTCGTTGATGTGTGTTAACCGATAATAATAATGATATATACATACATATTACATATACGTGACTTGGCGGATCACTCTCGTGTATTTTTGAAAAATCGTCTACTCAAATAAAAAATATAAAAACTGCGAAAATATGTACACGTCATAAACAACCAAGTGTATATAACATGCAAGTCCGCTTTCGATATTTCGAGTAAAACACATATTTTATTATGATATATATGTATACAATATAATATATATAAATATATATATATATATATATTTGTTCATAACCTCCAGTAAAATTATAGTCGAAAGGTTTCTAACAGTCAACGATCAAGAAGATATTTTTTTCTAACCAAAAGAGCATCACAAAAAGAGAAGGGGTTTGGTTGTGTTGGAATGGATCGAATGTTAACTTTCAGTTGAATGCCAGTTTTTGAGTGACCATTTTATAACATTATTGTCAACAAAAAAATGCATTTTGTCGTGAAAGGACAGATCGAATTCCAACGAAAGTACTTAAGCATCTTTAGTATGTTTTGATTTGGGTCTCAACCGTTAAAGTAGGCTTCCTATTATGTTGTAATTGTAGATATAAAACCAGATCATTTACTCAGTACTTATAATTTAACTGTACAGAAGGTTGGTCAAAATCATTTTTTTCCCTTTTTTTTGTAGATATCTTGTTTTATTGCATAAAAAATTTAATTTTTCCTCATTTTGATGTTTAAAAACATTTTTACTGAAACTAGAATTTTAATTTATGTAAAGTGATCATTAATCTTAATTTTTGTTTGACATATTGTTCTTAATGTCAAACAAAAATTCCACACTTTTCAGAGCTGAGTAATTTTGATTTAAATATTTTAGAATTTCATAATCACAATAGGTTGATTAAAAAAAAAAAAAAAATAACATAACAACAAAAAAATATTTAAAAATAAGGCACTGTATTTCAACAATTATAACAGCTGTAGATTCGACCGTGCGTAAAATTGCACTATTACAATATGTATAAAATAATAACATAATCATATTTTATAAGCATAAAAATTGTAAGAAAATTAAAAAAAATAATAATAATAAGAGAAGTAATAATTATTATTTTACAAATAATATTTGCAATCATTAATGATAATATATAATATGTATATATATAATATATAGATAATATATGATATGATAAATGTAGAATATAAACAGTGGTAACCAATAACATGAAATAATTTAAAATGTATAAAATATTATTTGTTTTAATCCTAAGCGATATAATAACATGACTTTACAAAAATAATCGTGCGGGGCACGTAATTTATACAAGTATTTTATTTTGTAATAATTATATATAATAAAATTAATATATTATATATTTGAAGACAAACAAGATTTATTGCAAAAAGGCACTAAAATTTTAGAATTAATTTGTCAGAGATCAAAAAGTACTGTGCAACAATGCGTAATTACACGCTAACTGTAAATTTAATTTGTTTCATCTCAAATACATAGCGTATTTGGACATGGACGACTGAAAAACCTAACATTATACAATAGTACTAATACTAATACTAAAAATAATAATAATAATTAGTAATACTGTAATCATAAAAAAAAATCCATCGTTATCGGTTCTTTTAGTTAAAATATAATGGGACAAAAATACAATAAATAGTAGGTACTTATAGTAAAACATACTTTAATTAAAAAAAAAAAATTACACTTATACTATCTTTCTTTTGACTATTTTGTATTAGAGTACAAAAATAATAAAAAAAATATATCACTGTACAATAGGAGGTAATTTACATTATATATTTATTTTATTTTATTTACATACGGTCCTATCGTAACAATGTTATTGGTCCTATTTGTTCGATAACAGCTCGACTGCTAATGCGGGGCAAAATTATTTGGACCTCTCGACACATGTGCGATATTTGTTCATATCGCTCAAATGTATTAAAAATAAACACAACACTTAATAAATATTTTATAGGTTTTAACAAAGTTTACGGAGCTACAAGAGCCCAGTAATAATAATAATAATAATCAAAAATAACATTATCGTCTAAAATCGAATCGTGCAATCAAATATATATTTCGTTAACGCTACGTTAAATACATTTTCCGGTATATATAGAGTACATAAATTAATTCCCAAGGAATGTTATTTAGAGTTTATTACGTTCAACACATATTTTTGTTTAATATCGCTATCGTAAAGGGATTCTTTCTCGGTCAAGTGTGTAGGCAGACTAGGGACATTTTTTTGTTTTTTTTTTTGGGGGGGGGGGGCTAAAGAAACTATATTCTTTAATATTATGGGTCCAAAGGAGAGTTCACCAAACACAAGCCCATATTGTAAGGAGGGGAGGTAATTACCCTCCCCACGTGTCAACCCTCAAGTCCACTCCTATGGTCGAGCGTGTCGGTAGTTTTTTAATATAAAAAAAACTTTTTTGATTACACATGAGATCTTTACGACTTTTTTTTATTTTACACTTGTCCAAATCAGTCAAATACAGTTCTCCCCCACCGATAAGCTTTGACACAGAACACAAATTAACACTAGTCGGTGGTCGGTAGACCACAACCGTCTTATATATAGGTTTTCTTGACCTTCTGCAGGGTTTTGTTTTCGATGGAAGCGTCCAAGTTCTTTTCCATCGTATCGTTGTTCTTGCTTTTGGTCACGTTGACCAACAAGTTCAACGGAGCCTTGTTGTTGGCGCAAGGCAAAAACGGCGCGTTGCCTATTTCGGTCGATCCGTTCATATCGGCCAGTCGGTTAAGTTGATGATGGGTGTGAACAGCCATGGCCGAAAACGGATCGACGTGACGAAAGTGCCGTGAACAAATGAAACCCACGGCGAAGCCTATCACCAGCGTGGCAAGTACGACCGTCATCATGATGAAACCGATCACGTCTCCTAACTCCACTACCGGGACATCAGTTCTTTTCTCCCGGACGGCTGTAAACATTTTTAAAAAAAATTAATAACACAATCAACAATATTTTTTATTTTTCACAAAAAAAACTACCCTTAGTACTAAAAATGGTTTATCTCACATAGATTGTGTAGTGTAGATTTAAGGGGATAAAAAATGCAAATTTGGGGTTATTACTTATTACTTATCCATTTGTGTACGAATATTTTAACTGTGTGAATATCAAGTCACATTGACTTATCTCTTTATGCACAAATATTATATTACACTGGACATAACGCATTTGTGACATCGGTCAGTCAATAAAAGTTTTATGCAAAAAGAGATAACCCTAAAAAAATGTTGTTTTTGATTTTCGTTATAATTTATTTAAGTAAATTAATTTAAAAATTGTCCTTTGATAAATTAATATAGTTTCAATAACTAGTACGTTTAATTCCCATATAAATATTAAACCAAAACAATATTATTGATAAATGTTCAGGGTTTTATTTACATTTTCCTAAAGGTAGCAAGTTTAGACTTTACCCGAACACCACAGAATTAACGGCCTTAAAGTTTCCACGTATCCTAACTGAACCCGCACAGTAGGTGGATTTTTATAAAAATTGAGATTAGCCACGATTATACATTCATCCAGATAACAGTCATAATATATAAGTAGGTACTATACACATACCGTCGTTGATAACATGGGAACAGGGTTCGCAATTCGGGCATCTCGCCAAGTTTGAGTCTATGTCGTTGCTGTCTGTAAAATCAAAAACGTTACAAGTTAATAAAACGAATCGTCGGTGATTTTTTTGTTTTTAGATTTTATTTGAAGCTTACCTTCGGCCGCTGTGGTTACCGTTCGGAAGTCGGAGATATCTGCGAAAAATAAAAAAACTATTAAATAAAAAATAAAAACACATAAATCAAAAACAGTTCCTCTCCCCCATTCGCCGCCTTGTTGCATAACGACTCCCGTCCAGATTTGTTTCTTTATCCATTTTTTTCAAATCTCCTCTTACTCATTCTTTATGTTGCCCGATCATGTTAGATCGAATTAGATTATAAAAAAGGTGTTTTTATAATTTACCGTTTGGACACATTGCGGCGTTCGTATTGGAACCGATCGACTGGATGAAGTTGCCGGCAGAGCCTTGAGCTTCCAGCTGATTAACGCAATGCGCACCGTTCCACGCGCAGTAAGGATCTTGCAAGTCGATACACTCTCTGGAAATGTTCGCATTTTGTTTTTTTAAATACACAAACAACGATACTTCCGGCAATTATAGCTTAAGTTTATTATACTCACTGGCAAGTTATTTTCTTGGAACACCGTTCCAGCGGAATGGAAATTACCGCTTGGTCGGAAGTGGCCACTATCCTGCCGGGTTTGCCTTTGGTCGATTTGACAAGGTTCAACGAGCGGACCGGTCCCATTTTGGCGCCGTTCGCCGTCAAGACGACTTCTTCAATGGGAACGAACTCTGGCGAACCGTTTTTCGTGTACAAAGCGCCTTTGATCAGCCGCCCGTCGTCTACAAAGAAAAAACAACCGTCGCCGTTTTATCGTACAATCCATCAGCTATAATAATATACTGTATTACTTGTCGTTGTAACTTACCCGTGCCCATGAACAGTACGTCGTAGTGCTGTCCTTTAGTGCCGGCCACCTGGTTGTCGACCACTATGCTTGTCAGTCTGTACTGTTGCGATACCCTGGTGAATATCGGCATGGAGAATAACGGCGATACGGCCGAGTCCATCAGCGAGTGACTCTTGACGAAATTCACCGTCGCGTCCGGGAGGGTTCGGCTGTCTTCTACGCAAACGCCCGGTCGTGGTTCCGGCACCTGCATCCAAAACACAATATTAAAAACGTTGTATAGTAGCAGCTTTCGGTCTGACTCGACTACAACGGTTTTTCAAAGCCCTCATTGTATTTTCGCCAAAAAAAAAAAAACTATTATAATTCAAATTAGTCGATGAATTGCCTAATAAAAAGTTTGCTTTGTATCTGAGAACTACAATCATAGTTACTCAGATAGCACAACAATTTAAAAACCACAAATATATATAATAAAACTGTTTTTGAAGAATTGTATAATAATAAAACGATATTTTGTAGGCAACAACCTTTGGATAACAAAATAGTTTTGAAGACATTTTAACTTTTGTGCTGAACTCTGGACATTGGTATATGAATGGTTTTAATAAATATTATTAGAGTACGCTGTGTTAATTTGTATTGATTTCTTTTAAGACGATGATGAAAGGTATACGCTAGAAACGGTACGGTTTTGGCGTAAAAGGATCTCGCCCATTTTATTTTTTCGAAAACATTGGCTACAATATTGTTTGTTTTGCCTTCAGTTCCTACCTTTTTCACGGGCAACCAATTCGAGTCCATGGCCTCTTGATCCTTAAACGAACCCATGAACGTGTCGATGATATCGCTTATGTTGAACGCACATACGGCCGACCCACCGATGGAGTTGACCGGCGTGTTGAAAACGCCGTAAACGATGGGGTCAATGATGCCGGTCAGGGCGGTGTTCAAGACATCGCTGGTACTCTCTGGAAGACGACAAAAACACAATTAAACACCGATCGTACATAGTAGGTATATATGTTCTAACACAAGTAAAGACACTAACGTATTTCGTCGAAATAGAAGGGATATTCGCCGGGGATGGAACAGTTGAGTCTGGCTTTCAAAAACGACGTCCATCGGTCCCGGTAAGAGTGCGGGCCGCCCTTGTCGTATTTACACACTCTGGCTACCCTCGAATAAATGGCCTAGAATAAACGTTTACAATAAATAAACACCGTAATCATAATAATAATAAAATATAACAAAATTCGGGTCGGACGCTCACTTTTCCGCAGTTGATGTACTCGACGGCGATCTCTCGGAAAAAGAAGAAGATGTAATCCTTGTACTCCAACGAGCTCACGAAGTTCGGGTCTGTAACACGTCACGCGGTCGCCAGTCAGTACAACGTAGTTAAAAATTACTATTATTCATGAATGGCGCGAAGTCTGTTTGCTTGCTTGCTTACCGTTCAGCTGCTTGAAGTCCAACCGTTCGGTCCGCATGGGCTCTTTGTATATCAGAGGGTCGCTGCCGGAGAAATCGGCCACGGTGCCTGAATAAAGCTGATCGCCTGTGTATATAGACGTGCTGTTGTGCAACGGATCGTACGGGCACCTCCCACGACCGTCCACTTCTTGACCGCTGGTATAGTCCTGTAACAAAACGAGCACACGGTAAAATATATTTTTTTTTTCACAGAGAAAAACAACGACACTTACCGTAAGGTTGTACACTTTGCACATCGGATGGAAAGCGTTGGTACCGCAGACCAACAGCTCTTCGTTGTTCTTCTTATACGCCACTCTGATGTAGTTCTGACAGTCGTCCTGTACCGCAAACAAACGACATAAAGTTTATTAACACAGGAACGGTTTACTGGGTTTGTGTGTGTGACAGAGTAGACGGGTAACATCCGTCTGAGTAATCCATCCGATTTTCTCGGAAAATATGTATATTTTGAAAATTATTTTTTCCTACATAATATATTTTACTATATTTTTCAATACTTTGAACATTTTTATCTTCATCCCATTGCTGTGCTGCTGTTGTAAAAACCGAACGATTATTGATGTTAAATTTAAAAAGTCATAGCAAACGAACAGATTTTTATAAACGATAATATTGTTTTAAATTTCGTGTCTACATATTTATGGAATTAAAAACATATGTTCCCATTTGAAAAAAAGAAGTACATATTTCTTTTACATATAAGTGATGAAGGTAAACATTTTTTTAAGCATTGAAAAATATAGCAAAATATGAGAAAATTAGTGTTCAAATGGATCACCCTGTACATCCAACACGCTAGATAATGCCGACTACGGGCAATTGCAGTCATCGCGCGTAAGTGATAATTTAAAATTCTTTATTTTTATTACCTCCGATTTGCCTTTGAGCTGGCACATTTGGTAATTGGCTTCTGAGGAGCTCCAATGGTATTTCTGCAAAAAAAAAACGCCGTAATAATGTTAGTAAATATAATATTGTATTGTAATGCCAAAAACAAATAAATAGTCGTTTTCACGCTGCCAGTGTAAACTAGACCGCCGTGGGTAACTCTATATAGTATACACACACATAAGACAATTACGTGGAAACAATTACATTCGGGTCGTACACACGTCTAACTCTCTAGACACAAAAACAAGTGACCCCTATTATACGCTATTTTTTTTTTACAAAATTATTTTCACACACAATTCATCTCGGTTGTTTCATGCGATGCGCATCGTCCAATAACAATTTTACAGTTTATAGATACTACAACAATTTTATAGATACTACAACAAAAAAATACCTTCTGCGTTGCACCAAACTAACACCCGTACCACGAGAATACAAATAATTTTTTGTTATAAACTAAAGTCTCATATGAGTATACGCGGAAAAAATATGACTACATCCACCAGATTTCATAGTTAGGCTTTATCACTACTTAAATAAACAGTTCTTTATGTTAACGTTCTAGCCCCTTAACTGGTATCGTCGGGTCAAAAATTACCCGATTTTCATTATAATCAAATGGGAATGAAAATGACGATACCAGTTAAGGGCTAGTTAAGGCGATTTTAATTTAGAACACACAATTGCATTCATACAGCTGGATAGTTTAAAGGATTTAGTTTTTAAAAAAATTAGATATTTTAGAAAAATATTTTGAAAAACTATATAATTAGTAAAGTAGTTGAAATAAATAAAAAAAATTTCTAATTTCAAGTAAAAGGTTTGGGCGTAGTTCAGACTGCGGTGTAAACGTGTGCGGTTTATGCATTCTTGTTTATTTTTAATCCATTTTATTTAATTAACTAAAAAAAACCATACCTACGACTACTCTACAGAGTTATTCATCGAAGATAATATACTAATTATTTCTCAAAATAATTGTTATTTTGCAGTTTTTCTTTTTGGAGACACTTTAGTTTATATAATTTTACAATATTAGACAATATTCAAAATTTCCAAAAACGTTTGAAACTCAAATAGGAACGCGCATATATATTTAATTACATTTTTTAATTAGTTATAATATGGCGAAAATGTTGACTGGCCGATAAACAGTTTCGATAAATAGTCTTATCCTTAATAAATCACCCTGTACATTCACACATCTTATTATACACGACATCTACCACCTCTTTCTAGGTGCTTGCAGAGTATGGAACTCGTACAAATGACAAGCACGATTAATGCTATAGCCTATAACATATACCTAGTGCGTGCGTTTAGATTTTAGAGCGATTTAAAATGTACACATTATTTACTATTATTATGTGTGTAACGTTAAAAGGCAAGTATACTATTACTACCGGGAAGTGTAAACGGCCGTTTGGTTTTATTTTGAAACTCGTATAATGGGCAAAACGTATTATGTTGGATGGTTTCAATATAATTGTGAGCACACAAAGCAACGACGTGCTCTCACCCCTTTTTTTTTTATATAATGCACACTGCGCACGACAAAAGCGCGGACCCCGTCCAAATAAGGGACAAAAATAATCGGACGGATTTAGAACTATTTAAATTGTCCGCTTTATTTTGTTTTTTTTTTATGTTAAACGCTCCCGAGATTTATGGACTCTTCTCCCGTCGCCAACGGGTTTGTAGTAGTTAGGGCCAGATATAGAGCACTTTTATATCAATGTGGAATAACCGAAACGCTCGACTTATAGCTGTTATTGTAAGAAAAAACACCAAGCATAAGGTATCGCGCCGAAGAGACTATTTTTTAATTAAAAAAAGAAATAGAAAACGGGCAAGAAAAATATATCCTACAAGTTGTGCAAACGTCATGGGCGAAATTTTTGTACAGAGTATATCATCATACATAGATTCGACCTCGAAGACGCGACGGTTGACGCCGAACCGAGTTTTAACCACGCTTTCTGCTGGTAAGTACGCACGCGAAAACCTCAGAATGCTTCCATGTACGTTTGGCATTTTACCGAAATTAATAATATAAACGCAACATAATCCGTAAACCGACTAATTCAACACACGGCCATGGTTATTAATCCCACAAAGACACTCGACCCATTCAATCGACCGTGTTAATGTCAAAATAAAATATGTAAATAATGGTCAGAGCGCGGCATAATGATGCTATGGATTTGGTAAAAACAACTTATTTCATACATATAATAATATTTAGTACAGAATGGCCCGCGAAAACGAATGTCGCAGCGCACATTTTTTTTCATATTATTATACTATAAAAATTATACTATAGGTACTATCGAGATATCAAAGCATAAGATCATGGACAAATTATTGTTTTCGGACACCGAAACAGTCATTCCGGGACATAAGTTTACTACTACCGTATTTAATACACACACACATATATATATATATATATATTAATTGTAAAATGATGGTTTAACGAGGGCGGCCGAGCGCGCACCGCGGTCACCGGGCCTGGCCGGCAACGGTAAATTGTGCAATTATTGTAATTCTAATTAGAAAGCGGCGACAACGACGTCAACTCGGTTCCTGAAACCTATAGATACACACAGACACAATAATAATAATATCGTCGTTATTATTATTACGGTGACGCGGGCGCGGTGGACGCTTAAATCGCAATTTACCTGCCTTGGCGGCAATCAATCATAAAATGTGTTGTCATTCAAATTACTATAATATTATAACGCCGGTCCGAGGCCTGTCACCGCAGCCGCGCACAATTCATTTCTCTGCCCTTTTGCCTCCTTGTTCCTCGACAATAACAACACAACACTGAACGCACCGAGAGAAAATCGTACAGGTGTTGTACATAGGTAACCATTATATATCTTGTAACATAAGCGTTGGGATACGGTGCAATACGGAAACTGCACGACCACCGGTTATCCAACGACAACAACGACTAAATGCATATCGAGCTATAAAAGACTTGTTGAATAAAAAAACACGGGTATAAAAAATAATATCTACTAATCGTTGTTCAACTTCTACTTGAGGGTATCTCAAATATTATAATATTTCACATTAGTATACCGTTTTATGTACACACAATGTATGGTGTGGTGTTGGAGGTGAGGGAAATCGCTCAAACGCGTCTTAAGTGTCTTCGGGGGCTGAGGCCCCGAGGCTTAATTGATATTTAACAAGCGCGTTTTGAAACAACCCGACACACAGTAGTAGTCTTTCTCTCTCTCTCTCTCTCTCTCTCTGGTTTAATTAAGAGGACAAAGACGTGGAACGCGTATAACACACACCTTTGGACAAGCAACGATTATAATTATTTTGCACTTTATTGTTGCGCCGAGAGACTTTTTGCGAAATCACCATGCCGACACAACATTCGTGTGATATATATACATATACATAATGCATAGTGCATATTACACACGAGCCGGTCTTTCGTCGCCATACACAATAATACCATTGTTACCGATTGAACTATTACGGATACGAGTATTTTTTATTAATTACAATACTACCACTGATAATAATGTACTTCCAGACCGTGCGCACAAATAATAAGTATAAAATGTTAATTGTTATATTTTTACATGAACTCGGGGCTTCCAACGATTAATTATTGTCCGACGGCAAAAGTACGGCGACGGGAGGACCTAAGCGCGTTGTTTACTATTTTTAAACTATTATTTATTTTATTTATATAACAAGTGTTTTTAAAGCGCCGACGCTCGTTAAAACGTACTATAAACAATATTATTACCGTTAATACTGTCACAGCTGTTGTATGCTATGAACTGTGTATACGTTATATTATAGAAGCACATATTGGTAGACGGGTTATAATTTTATGTACTGACAAACCCTTGTGTTCGGTTTTCGAATACCGCATTTCCGGGCCGGCAAGAGCGTTTTAGATATAGAATTTACAACGTTTTTACTTGTCGCCCACGCGTTACGACCTATATGTAGGTAGTTTTCATATACCTCGGTATCCAGTACCGTCACATAGATTATATTATTTTCATATTGCGGACGTAGCTATGGCACCGTATAAACCCAATGTTATTTCATTAAAGTGTTTGAAAACGCTACCCTACACGGGGTCAGCCGTGTACCGAGTTAAATATTCTAACCGAATGAACAAGGTCTATTATTTACCTACATCATTCATATTATTCGATTAAACTAATGTATTGCAAACATTTGTTATAGTTATTTTAAGAGCATTAACTTCTGGGCCCTAACCAATTTGAGGGTTTAAAAATGTACCGGCGTGCTCTGCTAACAGTAGTAATCGCTTGCTCTCTATTTATTTCCACGCTAATCTTATGGTTCTTTCTTTCTCGTTCATAGTTTTCTCCGAGAGGTTAGGTTATAGATTAGCATTATCATGATAGGCTCGAAAGCTCCTACAGGAATTTTCTCGACGACCTAGTACAAGGCGCGAGATTCTGATTAACCCTTTTTTTAAATTATTATTAATTATTATTATTCGATTATTTGCACGCCATTCGCGCCCACCGCTCGATTATTATAATGCCGTTGTAGGCAAATAATTGTCGTTAACGTCAAGTGTTGTCGTTATATTATACGCCCGGAATGTGCGTTTATAATATGATGGGCGCGCATCTTCTTCGTCGCCTTGATGCGCTTTATATTATAAAAGAAGTATTTCGCCCACAAACGCGCGACCAATCTTATAAAACCTCGTAGACCAACATAATAACATATTATTAACGTTATTATATTATATGTATTGCGAAAAACGCAAAACCTTCGAGACTCTTCAAAAAGGCAAGTGCCATCGTCACAATACACACAACACGAGAGAATTACAAATATAACACATAATGTACACGTTTGGCGAGATCCCGTTAATTATTCGCTTGACCCAAAACGCGCGCCATCGATTGTATATATTAATAATATTATTATAAATACAAGCACACACACATGCGATTGCGTTATACACACACATAGACCGGTCGCGTTAAGAGCTAAGACCATCACAAGGTAAGCCCAAAATCGGTACACGCCGAGTACGAACTTGTAATATATTTGTCGCAATCGGCACATATTACTTAGGCTCGCCGAGTACACCGTGTTAGACCTCCTAACGCACACTCTTGTCGTGAGTTCTACAGTACATCTCTTCTGCCATAAGACGTTCAAAACGGTCGACCGCGTTTATTAATATTTATGATTATTATTATTGGGATGACACATTAAAATAATATGCACCTTTATCGTTCTTATTATATTGTTACTCTGTTTAGTAGTACACGGCCGTTTGCGAGCCACGGGCGCAGTACAGAGTTTAATATATAACACGGTGTTTCCGGTGGGTCATCACTGGCCGTATGAATAATATAATTTAAAAGTTCTACACAAACGGATTCGGGGACACATCAGGATCCGCTATTGTATTGCCAGAGAGCAATTTAAAACACATAAAAAACACACACACAAGACGTCACAGGGTGCGACCGTATATAGCGCACTTACTGTTTTCAATACAAACGCTATTATAATATTATACTAAACCTCGAGTACAAAATATTATGTGCACTGAGAATATTATGCTCGCCTACGATACCCTGTTGTATCGGACCGGAAAAAAATAATTCCAAAAAACGACATGTCGAACTGCACCGATAATATAATATTATATTACAACCGACGGCTGAGTATAGATACCATCACGTGTGTTTACAAAAAAAAACCTTTTTAAGTACATTCCTACATACTCGATGATATTAAACGCAGAATTCGAACAAAAACTCGAATTAAAATATATATACGATACATATTATATTAACAGTTTTTTTTTAATTGGGCTTTTGCGTGAAAAATTATTAAACTATATTTTGATTGTACTCACGTCGTTTATTTTCATGGTGTCCAAACTGACATTGTACAACACATTTCTGAAATTAAAAAAAAACAATTCCATTAGTAACGTAGTATGCAAATTCTATTACGACCTAAGTGAAAAAGCAACAAAAAAAACCCAACTATTGTAGTATCAAAATGTCGGAACTTATTACTCGAATTAATTTTTTTTTTTTTGCTAAACATTATGGAAATAAAAAAAGCAGTATCTTAAATATATAATTATCTTATATTAAAATAAAACACATTTTTATAAACACAATTTTATTTTATCGTTGCTTACAATTGGCCATTAGGTATACCAATATACCTAATAACAACTTTGTAAATGTCATTAGGTTTTTACATTTTTATTCGTCTCGAGTAAAATCATAAATACATTTTATTCTATTTTTCGAAGTAGAAAAACAAATTTGTAGATATTAACCGCCGAGTTGTTTAACATACATAACTTAAAAAAAAAAAACCTGATCCCAATTACAAGACCTAAATAATTTTTAGAGGACAAGTAGATACGATCGTCGAGCAAAAACAAACACAGAACATATTATTTGAGAGTTTCAAAAGGCCGACTGTATAATTTTCGCTATTACATTTAATAGCAGACATTATTGTTTGGCCTGCAGTTTGCACAATCCGATAATCAATTATCGCCGTCGACCGTTCAGTTTTATTTGCATACCGGTCGTAATCAATTACAGAGAGAAAACAAAACAAAAATGAATAGTATTTTAGACGTTAACCGAAATACACCGTTCGCTCGGTTGAGATAAAGATGTCGAGGATGCTGCCCAAGATTGCCGACACAATAATTACTATTGTGGCCATACACATACTTAGGCGGCACGTCCAAAGGCGTACCGCAAAGGTTACGCGAAGTCGCATAAAGCAGTTTGTCGCGCGCTGAGAAAAATGATAATTTTTTATTTTTTTACTCACACCGTAAAACGTGTAACCGCGCCGGCACGGCCGACCGACCAACCTACATATTATTATTATTATTATTATTATTATTATTAATAGAAGGAACCTATTAATATAAGGCATTATTGTGTGCCCGCGGTTACTATTTCATCAACGCGATAGTAATTATTATTATCTTACGTGAGATTCCATTATTTAGGTCTATTATCGGTTATTAAAAAATATATAACAGGTGTTATAGTTGGGTATATAATATAGTCTACGGTTTTCTTAAATATAAAACGATGGTACCGGACTATTGCAAAACGACTTGGGTCAAACTGATTACAATATAAATACCCCACGGAAAGTCATTCGGTGGCGAAACACCGCGACATAACTGCCGAACGACGTATCAGCAAAAATACAAATAAAACAAAAAATGTAAATGGAGCAGAAATTTTGACTTTTCACCGCGACCGCGCTTTGTGAACCGTGTGAAAATTCACATGGCCGATGACTTTTATAATAATACAAGTCTACCGGTGAGCGCACGGCTAAAAATAATATGCGACTAACGAAACAGTTAAGTATTACAATACCTGTTATACAAGCATAGTATTATATTAGTATTCTTACATATTACATTATATAGATCAAACGTACAAGGGAAAAGGCTGTATCGGTACGGCTCGTGAACCGTGTATCCTGTCTGTATGTGTGTTTATACTTTATACAGTAGTCACGGAGTGTTGTCGAATCATTTGGTTGTTCGACTTTAAAACAATTATTGTTTTATCCCAAAATCTGATCAACCATAACGCGACGACACCCGCTCGTCGGTTAGGTGTGTGCACGGTCCGGCGATTTATTATCGATATCAATTAATAATAATAATACAAAAAAAAAATACTGTACCTGGAACCGATTAGCGCCGTCGTCTGGTCTTGAAGCAATATTTTGAAGTAGTTTTTGGTCGACTTGTTCCCGTGGAATATCTGATCAGAATTGAACGCTGCTGTAACACAAATAGGTCCGCGTTAAATCACATTGTAGCGTACACATATTTTATTATTATTTACTCTATCGATGAGCCTCGATTCAAAGCCCTTGAATGATTTTAAAGTATTGTTTTAAAGTATTTATCATTCGCGACCTCCGCCGTTCACATAGGAACGAGCAAAGACCGTGTTCTTGCACAACGTATAGCACCGACTTCTAGGCAAATCCAATGAAAGTCGACGACTTTCAAAACTTAGACGTTCCCAGAAATTTGTCAAGGACCCCAGAACGCTTAGTCATACCGACAGCAGCGATGGTAGTAAAAAAACTTATCCAAGCTTCTAGAAAATCGCTCTTGGAAAATACAATAACGGTTTTGGATGCAAGCTAAACGGCATAGAATTTTTTTATCAGACGAGGCTGGCTACACGACGGCCGTATAATATACTTATAAATATGAGTAGATACTTGGTGTTGGCAATAAATTATCAAATCCCTGCACGAGATCACGGAAAACTACTTTTTGCGGTTGCCTCCTCACACCCCTACGGCGACCAAGACATGTTAAATATTACACTTGCACCGTTTTCGTTCATCACCATAATAATATTACTCTTTGTCTTGGGTTTTAATAAAGTGAGAAAAAAACATATCTCATAAGCCAGCCGCCTGCACCCTCGTCACGGTTGTCTTGTCGCGTTCTCTCGGTCGTTTAACAACAGTCGTCCGACTGTCGAGACCCACAGAATTATTTTCATTATTACTATTATTAATATCAGACGATATATCTGCTTGTGTGTGGCAAACAAGGCCACATCGTGTCTCATTATCCGGCCGTAATGATCACACCGACCGACGTACGGGATGCGAGAGCCAAACACACTCAGTAGCCGCAAAATCCCATTTTCCTTAATTTTTGTTTTGTTTTTTCCCCAAGCATCCAGAAATGAAGTTTAATGCGGCATACCACCGACCACCGGAACGCACACAAACCAGGTAAGTAATTGAAAATTGAAATAGCCCACAGAGAGAGACCTCGTAATGTGTACACTAGTAAAAGGTATACAGCGTAATCGCAAATCATGATGAACACTTTAAAATAAAAAATTTTAACATTACATAATTGCGTTGTTATTGTTGAGGGTCAACCGGCTAATATGTACAATATGTCCCGGAATGCGGCCTGTTGCCTATTGGATTCCATTGGTGGGGTTTAGACAACACTCAAATCTATTCTTCAAAATGCGTACAGGGGAATAAAAAAATAAAAAATCGGGTATTATTCGAATCTGATGAAAACATTACTCGGGGTAGCTGTCTTGACTTCAAAATTAAATTGGTGCTTCGTCCAGAGTTAATATAATTTTAAAAATAACTTTTTTTTTTTAATTATGAACACTGACATAATCATCTTGGGACGTACCTACCGCATGTAAGTTTATTACTTTAATTTGGATTACCGGTCATTATGCGTGCACTTTGACATCCGTGAGCCACAATAAGATGTGAAATAGATTTTTTTTTTATACTTTGAAGTAGTTAGGCACTCGGGAGCACTAAACGTGCGATATTCACACGATATACCTACATATTATACGATTTACCCTGTCCAGCACTTAAAAAAAATATATCAACACCCTATAATGTCTGCGTTAGGTCAACAGGTCAAAATACCTTGGGAACGCGTAAAAGACTAGGGTACCGCGCAATAAGTAAAATACATGTATATTTATTATGTTTAAGCAGAGTCACTCATTATTCACTCTATTCGGCTGTAGGTGAGTATTTTAAAATTTGACATTCGATAAAATTCCGGGCGGTAACGAAGGTGCTGCGGGTTAACGTTCGTTTTTTTGTTATTGTTACACCGATAGACAACAAGTGCACACCGTGCAGATACTTTAGATGTACACCTTTTACGTGAAATCGTATATTATGGAATATTTTCGACAATTATCATACTAATTGTAAAATATACTGTAATAAGTAATTTATATAATTACACGGGACCGCGCGTTGGCCCGCGGTTCCATCAGTTCTGCTCTATATTTAAAAGTCAACAATTATTATTTCAAAACGGTCAACGAAACAAACAAACAATTATGCAATTTTGATAATTATTGTTATTATAATAAAATTTGAAAACATTGTTCTCAATAATAATACAAAAACACGGTTCCTTCGATTTAGCCAGGTGTATACGCCCTGGTCGTCGCCGTTGGATACTTAAAACACATAGTCGACGAGAGTGTTATTAAGTAAAACAAAAACGTTTCTCAGAAGTTCGGTCGGCTTCACTGCGGTCGCCCATTATAGAGTAGTTGATAACACACAGATTGAATAATGACATGCCATGTCTTATGGGCTGTACAGGACGGGACGACCACTGTGTGTGTGTGCAACCGATTAAAAATCAAGATCAAAACGAAAAAAAGCTCCCAGCAAGGTCGAATTCGGATTTTTAATAACCCGTCAGCCCGTCGACGGATCACGGTACAAGATAACCGCGCCGCAAGGAATATCGTTAAATTAATGGACACAGGAAAACTGAAGTCGTTTGTCATTGCCGAACGTCGGGATTTTGTTATATATATACAGTATATTTCTAATATTATGCACTTTCCGCCCGACACAAAAAGCTTAAGATGGTTTTTTTTGTTTGGTTCATAATTATTGAAAGAAAACACACAACCCGATCACCACAAAACAGGAACGACACGAAACTGTGTACTCATAAAAAAACAAAAAAACCGTTCGACAAAACCAATATATACATCTACATTACGGCGGAGTTTTATGTCACGACATACTGAAGTAAAACGGCCTACATTACTATTATTCGTTATAAAAAAAAAACAATATTATTATAAATTATTATAACAAATCCGTTATTATTTTTGTAATATTTCAGAAAAGGTGTCGACGGCACGATCCAGAACGTTTGGCTGTTACGCAAATTGCTCGAGATCTTACCGAGATAAGTTCACACACACAAGCACAAAATACATACAACGATTTCGTTGTATACTTAAAATACACGACTGTTAAGAAAAATAATAACAATAAAGAATAATAATAATAATAACAATATTATTCGTAAGAAACGTTGGCTTTTTACAAACAACCTTGTGTAACCTATGAGTTATGAGACATCATAATATTTATTATAATTTATAATATACACGAGGCTGTTTGTTTACCCGCAAGCGTCGCTATACTCACCCATTAGTTTATACGGCTATACACTATAAATATTTGTTAATAATATTAGTTTGTTTTTTAAAGTTAACTATACAAATGTCGCGTCGACTTTGCGTTGAAAATTTTGTAATGTGTCGATCATGCGAACGCGTATTTTAGTTTTTTTTTATCCTAGTGTTTGGAAGACATCCAAACTGGGAACAAAAAAAAAATGAATAATACTAATAAATTATTATGAACCATTTTGTAATCAGCAAGGCGACTTCGATCGGTGTCGTTTCAATGGAAAGTGTTGGAGATTCGCCAAATATAAAAAACCCCATACAGAACTGGTTTACTTTATGAAGTCCACGCGAGCCATAGATAATGCGACTGAGCTACAACTGGGCGATTCTGCTTATGTTGCGTGAAGGGGGAAATCTCATTTATGATCCAAACTACGAAAATGTTATTCTCAGTATTAAATTATTATTTTTTACCAGGTAGACCAATGAAAAACATGTTGATATATTATACACCGACCGGATGAATAAAAATAATTTGTCTACTACATCCACTATTGCGGTCGCCACTTCCACCAAAATGGACAATGCCGGTCTATAGGACCCTGCATCTACTCGTTATAATATTGTCTACACAACTAGATTGTATAAAATAATTGAAATAATTATTTTTCTAGACGTTTGTAAATCTCATAATTTTTACTTTACACCAAACGATTCCGCCGTAGAGTAGGTTAGTATTGTATAAAAACAAAAATAACAATCCGGATTATTGGATTACGCAACATTTATATCTTATATAAATATTCTGACACACATGTTTGTCTTGAACGATTCTCGTTTGTGGGGGAGATACTTTGATACCGCGAGGAGTAAAAATAGTTAATTCGTTGACCTTTTTCATTCTTGACACAAACCGCGGCCGGTATTACACACATACAATGTATAATTTATATACTAAAAATATGTTTGTGTGTGAGTGTATGTGGATATTAATTTACAAGAGGAGTTTGTACTATACGAAAGGCAAATGCAGGTCAATGAAGCAAGTAATAAGACTTGATTAAAGCCAACAACACCATACAAAACCGGCCGTCCAGTGTCCTCCTCTCTCTCTCTCTCTCTTCATATTTATTCATCGCCGGGTTATTTCAGAACGCACAAGTAAAAAAAAACGGGCGGGCGTACACTCCCGTTTGTAGCAAAATCTATTGCGGCATCAGCCGAGCGCGTTAATAATTATTTTAAAAAATAACTCTTGGCTGAGAACTATACATGAATGCCTCTAAAAAAAAATACCTTAGTATAATATTATATCATTACCAGTTATATTATGTACAACCTCTGTGGAGGGCCTGAATGTATATATCTTGATAAGGTTGCGTTATTGATCATCATCATCGTGGTCGTCGTTTGCTCGCAATACATAATATCAGCTTACTGGGACACAAGAGTTCGGAAACAATAGTAGAATACAAAACGAAAAAAAACTATGTCGTCGACTCGTTAACGCTGTCCTAAACGAGGCGAATATTGTTTTTTTGGGGAATTTTAGACGACCTAATCTCGACCATGTCCAAGGCGTGGAATGTGCGCTCGTGTTGTATTATTTTTTTAACCTCGGCCGATCGTGTGTTGAAACTTTTAAAAAAAATTCGTTTTCCTCGACAAGCAAGCGCATTAGTTTCTATAGGGGCGGCGAAAACGAGAAGAGAGAGAAGAGATCAGACGCATTAGTCAGGTACGTCGTCCGATGATGAGTTCCCGACAAAAATAATAATACGTGTATATATAAATATAAATGTATACATGTATCATATCTGCCTAAGAAATTACCGTCTCGGATAAATGATTATAGACAGCTGCGGAAGACCGTGCAATCGCCGTCCGATAATCTTTTGCTCGATAGATATTGCTACAGTTTTTATTTTTTTAATAGGAAACCAGTTTTATATCCGGTCATTGCGACTGACAGCACCCTTCAGCTATGTATTATAATATTCACAACAGACGTTTAATATGATAATCATTTTTTTGTTATAAAAAATTATAAAGGTATACGCAACAACAATTATTATTTTGTATATTTTGTTTCCAGAGATTGCCAAGTATTCGCGTATCCGCCATTTCTGTTTACTTGAAATATTTTAATCGTTTCCTTTTATACAATCGAATTGACCGGGCGTACAGTACACGCATTTAGGTCCATTACCGCATAAATCAATTAAGGCGGAAAAAATCGCTAGCCTAAGATGTACACAGTATTATAATGTATTATACTATTAAAAAATAATGACGCCGTAAAAATAAGGTAAATCATTCGATCGGAGAGACCAAAGTTTAAGGGCATCCGTATAAAATACATAAAGCGGAAAACGATAATAACTTGAGTAAAACAAATAAAATATATACAGCGATAAAAATTTGTTAATTATTCGAAGGCCGTGTAATCACGATTAGTTATAAATACTTAAGGACAATAAAAACAAATAAACTAAAAATTCAGCCAGTCATTTTTGTTTGTCTTTGTACAAGTTACATTGTTATTGTTATCCTACGAAAGTCGCAGAGGAATATGTTAATCCACCGTGATTTATGTGGCCTTCGAGTGCTGGTCGTACATAATACAATAAGGTGCTGTACAGTAGTAATGATTATTATTCGTCCCTTGTGTAGTTGGTAAATTCGACCATCACCGGTAGTCAGCCAAGAAGGTGTCGTTATTTTTATTTGCAATAACAATGCAATTTTTTTAACCCCCGCATTCCTCTCGCCATAACACTTTGATCTTTGTGAATATAACAAAAATTTGCATAAAGAGTTTTACGATAATAACTTAATATATTATATTATAAGGATTTTGTTTTATAATAAAAGCAAAACGTAATAACACTTCAAGTAGGAAATGCATAATATTTATATGGTAATCTTTAGCTGGAATTAAAAATGTTTACCTTTCCATTACATCTAGGAAAACAAAATAGAATTATTTGGGATGGGCGCTAAGAAAATGTATATTATTTGAAAAACAAACAAGTACGGCACTCGTTCGGTTTGCTGTCAATTATTTACAAAAATATTGACATGTGTTAGAGTTTTTGTTTGTTTGCTAAGCGACAGGTAATTTGGCCACATTAATTTGTCAGTGTATCGACGTAAATCAACGTTGTATTGCGGTTATAGCAATTAGCAATCATACCTATAATCGTTGCCGTGTATAAGTACACGAGTTAATTACATCATATTGAAAATGTTTTTTTATTTTAACATAACATTTGTATGGTAATATTTTGGCAACCACAAAATAAGCGTTCGAACGGTCGACAAAAAATATAACACAATATTGTAATAATGTAAAGATTGGATTCTATTGGACTGAATCCGAGATAGGTATCGTGTTGCTAACCTGTGTTTTTTTTTTTGGTAATCCTCCTAGTCCATATATATCCCATTTCTGAGCCCACACTAAATACTTAACACAACCTTTGTTCCGTGACCGCCGCTGACGTTACGGGGGGTTAAGTTACGTCGCGGGAACTAATTTCCAGATCAAGGATGATTCCGGATAGGTCGAGACCTCTCTAACGAAAACGACAAAAGTCAACCGCATCGCACATCGTGGTCTCCTAAGTCCGACCGCATTGTATATATCGAATTGCCGTATGCGACTTGCACGAAGGTGTAATATACCACCACACGCGGTCGTCTGATACATTTTACTTAATAAAAACAATACTATCATAATAATATAACTCTGTATACTTTGACCGGGTTTGCCGTGTATTTAGAAATTCTACGGTGTTTGGGTAAAGGGGAGTTAATCGGAAAATGAAAATTTGGGGTTATTAGGTTAAAATATTTTTTTAAAAATGTTTCATACGTTTAGGCATAAGTACGGGGAATAAGTCCAAGGTGATATTAAACCTTAATATTCATATATGTTTAAACTGGGATCAAAACGATACCGAAGTGATCTAGTTTGCCCAGAAGAGGATAACTCGCTTTTCCCTTTGTACACACATAATATACGAGTAAATGTACAAAACGAGTCAAGTTGACTTATCCATTTATGCACAAAAATTACATTTGACTAAATTGGATTTTGTCAATCGGCATCTGCGGAATAAGTCAATAAAAAATATGCGCAAAAAGAGATAACTCGGAAAAAATGTTGTTTTTAATTTTGATTAAAACTGTTTTAAGTTGTCCTTTGATATAGTAATATTACTATATCAAATTACATAGTTTAAAAATTAGTATATTTTGTTCCCATATAAATTTAACCAAAACGACCTAACCTAAATGAAAGCTGTATTTGCATTTTTCCATAAGTAGCAAGTTTAAACGTATCCCCCTTTACTCAAACACCACAGATTTGTTATATAACGAGACGAGTAGGTAAATAATTGAAACTTGCAATAAATGAAGCTGCTCTTGGCCGGTTGACTCTGTTGCCACGCCTCGCCTAGGCTGACGGCAAGCGCCGCGAAAACGACAAAGGCCGTCCGCCAATAGTAGTGTTTGCCGCAGTCCGGACAGTCCATGGTGGTGGCGTTCACAAGTCACGCGGGCAAATCATTTGAAACTGTAACAAAAAACAAACGAAAAAATAAGTTAACAAAACTCATGGACAGCTCTTCCTATAAAGAGAGGTCGGAAAGGACAATTATTATTGCACGCGTGCAGTACACGTTGTGCATTGTGGTCCGTGCACTCTGCACATAATAATATGTAATAATATACACTCGTAAGTCGTTTGACAAGAATTGTTTAAGGTTAATTATTGTTGGACGAAGATTTCTATGCGGCGCATAATTGGTACAACGAGCCGTCTGTAGCTCGTCTCCCATACACCTTTCTCTGGCACATAAATCATTTAATAACGTTGCGGAACACAATACCGTACACACGGCTGGTGCGCTCTATTAGCTCTTGAAGCAGTCATTATCAAAATTACTGTAGACTTAAGTTTGTTGTACAATCGTCGTTACACACTACCGGGCACTCGGTACTACATATTATTACTACCGCTGCAACGCCAAAGGTAATAATAATAAAAATCATTGCAACTTATCATAATAACGTTGCGCGGGGTATCGACACGGTAGAATGTACACTGTACAGCGGGAAAATTTGTTATTATTTTTACAAAAGTCATAATACGGTAATTATATTGTAACTGTTATGCCTAGTGCGCGCACTTATTTTACCCAATATACACCTTGGTCTACGGAGAAGCTTGTTTGTCGAAGAACATTTTTTTTGCTGTATTCATAATGTATTTATAAGTCGGCACAAATTTTTATTATTGGGTCGATTCGACGGTTGCGCAACACGATAATTATTATTATTAAAACACAAAGGCTTCTGACGGTCGGCGAGCACTAATTGTAGTGAGGAAAAAGAGGCGGCGGTGATCTATACCGTGAAAGGCATTATATAGAACGCGGTCGCTCAAAAGAACATCCGACCTAATGGTTTCGAGTAGGTTTGACACACGACACTGTTTGCGAGTGTGTTACATAATTGTTGTTTCTAAGAAAAAAGTAATTTTAAATTGAAAAATTAGAACGAGAGAGGTTTTGCGAATAAATTAACAAACCGGTGACGGCTATGTTGCTACAATATGCAAAATACACGTTCGAAAATACACTTTAAGATTGCCAGACCTTTGATTAATGAGGGACCGGCTCGGATATATTATGATAGCTTCTAGTGCGCAAAACGTTTTAATAAGGACGTGTACAGAATGTCGCCCGTTCAGCGTAAAATTCGCATGCATGTTGTACTTCTTAATTAGTATATTGTACAAACGAAAAAAATTAATTCAATTAAAAAATATGTGTAACAAAAAAACGAAACGTACAAAAACAAAGGTAATCGGTTTATCAGCGTTTATTTTTTTTTCTTAATTAATTTATAATGTTTTTTTTAACATTCAGGTAACTCGTAGGAAAATGTTTATTAGTTATTATAAACGCGCCGATTCAGTAAACCAGTTGTGGCGGAAAAACTGAAAACAACGAGTAATACATTTATAATATTCACATTGTAAATAATAATAATACATAAAAACAATTGAGCAAGCGTAAATTAATTTTGGCCCGTGTACGTTTTCAAAACGATTTTTATCTCTGTATACTTTTTTTTTGTCAAACAGACGACACAGCGGTCACTTTAAAAAAAAAAATTATACCGAACCAGCAACTTATGCCAGTTATCTTGTTGAGAGCTCGCCTCGCCGCACCACGACCACGGTGTACACTGTACATATTATACGTATATCTAATTTGGTGAGCTTTAAAATTATACACAAGGAACGCTCTAAACAACTGATAGAAAGGTAATAATATTTTGTTCACGCGTTTACCGGCTAGGACAATAACGGCGTTTGGGTACAAATAAATCATATAGAAGAAACTTATAACGCGCGATTGGCGAACAAGAGAGACAAGATAGGCGGAGGAAGAAGATTAGGGTAGCCCGACAAAATTGAATTCACACTTTGCCGGTACCCGAAGTAGGCGTTATAATATTATCTCAACACATAAATAGGAATTAACCGCTACTTTGTGATAGGCGTCTTACTATTACTACTAGGAAAATCACCTAAGTCCTACCCGAAGTCCGGTTGTTCGACTCACGCCGTACCTATATTTTTTGTGTATTATAACTGTATAGATATTAAGATTAGAGAACATATTATAACATAAACTACCGTTGAACTGTTAGTAAACGTATGGTGGCGCGTACAAGCCCAGAACACGTCCGTAACCATCAATTTTGTCATAGTATCATCCTTTGAAAAATAACAAATTATCACATATATAAATATATAAGTCACAGGTTACCAATATTTCATACCTACACTATAGAATAATAATAAAAGAGACGCGTGCGCGTTCGACCCGGAACGCGCGTATTGTGCGTACCTTTTGTGTGCGGGCGTCGCGCCATCACTTTCTCCTTTAAACTATTTTTATTTATTATTATTATTCCAAAAAAATTCGTGATAAAATATCAAAATATACACGATAACGCGCGGCTATACGACCGACAATAATCGTATGATGCTATTATCATAGTCAAATATATTCGTATACACATAAACCGTGACCGGATGGAAATTATTATGATTTCGACGGGGCGACGACTGCGACGGCGGCTGGCGAGTACGATTTTTGTAATATTAATACTATTATTATTTTGAATCTAGCAAAAACAATTTGCGTGGGTGCTAGCACAACAACAATCCGACACTTTCACCGCATGCGCATTAAACAATTATACTTTTTTTTTTTTTTATTGGACATTAATATTATTATTGTATACTTAATGTATCGCCCCTCCTCCCAATGAGCGCTAATATAGCCGTGACGCAACAGAAGGAATTTATTTAGAAGTTTTAACGCAACAAAATGTTAAAACCTCTCAGCTCCCCGAGGTAGTGGTGTGGCGGTTGACCTTTAGTCAGCAGTGATGGCGTCTTCAGCCACACGGTCAAACCGCAGAAGAGGTATACACGAACAGATTCCTCTACTAGGTTTTTTCACATATGAATGTATACATATTGTATAAAATGATAATGTTGTGAGTTGCTGCTCTCGTCGGTACGCGGGTTATGGGCTTTGGCGAAAGCCCACCATCCGGGTGACACGTGGGAAGCGTGCAAGAGAAGCCTTATGCAAAAGAGTATATTATGTCGCGTTATAGGGTTACCATCGTCGTCAAGGGGACGACAACGATATCGGGTGTCGACTTACGACGTCTCGAAGATAGTTTTTACTGTTTTTATAGACATCCCATCTGACTGTGCAATCTACTACATATATATAATATTGTAAACAGATTTCTACATATACAAATGAAACAAAAAATACTCTTACAAGTTAATTCAAAATAATTAAATGATAACTAACAGAGAGAGATAGTGATAGTTTATGTCGTGTGCAAAGAACGAACACCCAAGACTTAAGAAAACCACAAAACTACCTTAGAACGCCCCGAGTTACCGTGCGGTATTGAGATGTAGATAGGATAACATATTATAATCATACTAGCGCCCAAGGAGCCCACGCCAGTGTATTTTTGACATTTTTTTTCATTTCCAAAGAAAACCATCACCAACGGCCGTTATAATATTATATTCACTTAATCGTTTGCCCGGCAGTAGTATTCACACTAATTAAGCACCACCGGTCGTTAACAAACGGTGCGCAGTTTATAAGTCCATATACAGGAATAACATATAATATATTTTGTTATTGCCGGGTTCCCATTGCCGTTCCCGGTATAATTACCGAGTGTATGAGACATATATATTATATGACTATAATAACTTAAGTAGACTTTTTTTTTATCCGAATCTAAAACTAAACGAGTTTTTAAACGCTCTTCGCTCGATACGCATTTTATAATATTCAATAAGCCATCAGCGTTCACTTCATAAGTTTCGTTCATTGTAAAAGTGCATTATGTCTTGTAAATGAATTTTGAAATAACGATCTTTTTTGACTAAATGTGACTCCATTAAGCAAAAATTTATATATATTAAAAATTGGTAGTTACACCACTTTTACAATAAACGACCCATATTAAATTATATATATATATATATATATATATATATATATATATATAAATATTATTTACCTATACCTATATATAACTAATTCGTAGAAAACAATATACGGCGCCAGCGGGTAAAATAATCATTTTACAAATATTATAAACAATTATGACCAATCGCCGAGTTCAAGTCCCTGAAGTCACAAAAAAAACGAGTCACCAACTCGATTTCCATATAAAAAAATCTCCCCCTCCCCTTAAGTGCGCACAACCCTTTTGCGTCGTGTATCGAATTACGAAACGCGCGTCTTGTTGGTTAACACCGTGTACGCAATTCTATAGGGATGTCAAAGCGAACCCTAAGTTATTGCTTAACCAAAACGACGTTAAAGTCTTTTTTTTTCCGTCATACTCAAGGCGTGATAAACGGGAGCCGACGTCCAAAAAACATATTGTACGATATTTTGGTGTTTTAACACATCAACCTATTCTTCATCCAAATAAATCCCCCAACCACTCCCCTACTTCATATATTCATTAAAGCTTAACTTACACCGTACAGCATCCGAATGTAAGATCATATCGTTACCGTTTGATTTGGTATGAAAAAGTATTTTTCAAGGCATCGAAGATATTTCTGTGAAATATTTGAGTGCTAATATTATGATGTTGAATGGCGCAAGTAAAATATTTTCTAAAATAACATTAGTGCGTGGACGTCGTTTATGATGTAACATCCAATTCGTTAATCAATCACACGTTGAAATTACCATATTATTCCTGCTATCTTTACTGGTAATCATATAGTGGTGTACACTTAACGATCACAGTAAACACAGCAACGGCATTTTGCACATACACGAATGCGAGCGATTTGGGCGGTTAAGCCATTCAACGAAGTTCACACACAAAAATATCCAAAACTCTAAAACGACGATTATCGATTATAAGAGATAACATAGTATAATACATTTAACCTTTGCAAGACCCGAACAATTTGTTCTTTTTATTTTTTGGTGACGGTGGGTAAGTATATAATGTATGTACATAATCCAACGCGCCGTCGACGCCCCCATATAATATCGTACGCGACATTGGGTCGACATATCGACACCTAAGGCGACGCAATCGTTATCACAGTGTACGTACAATTTAGTATTATAATATTTTTAATTGTAAAAAATTACTTACTTGCGCGGAATGCGACAGACCGACGTGCTAAGGCAATGGTCACGACCGGCGCGACGGACACAACGCATAGCTACAATATTAACACGACTGCCATAAATAGATAAATAGATAATAATATATGTGTAAAGGTATGGAGATGTCGATCGTCCGGCGATCGTGTGTGCACTGACGAATATCAACGGTCCGTGTGCGTGTCAACCGGACAGCGTATTGTCGTCGGCCTATCCTGTCGCGCGCTCTGGCTCAGGTATATAGGTATATACCCTACCTAGATACACAGGTTTATATACAATGCGCAAAAAGGCTTGTATAATAAACAATAATAATACTACGGCGATGAAACGATAACCTGCGTTCATAAAGGATTATTATTGTTGCGAAGGAATAAAACTGCACTTAGACAACCGGAGCGAAGAATGATGGCGTGCGTTTAATAACGATAATTTCCGACACGATTGCGGGCCAATGGCAATAAGCCTAGAAGGACCTCTCTATACCGACATGTACCTCTGCACACACTGACACACAATACACTCGCGCGTTTACGCCTTGTCTAAGCACATACAGATAACAAACGGCACGCGAACTGCAAATCGCTCTATGGCCGACCGATCGGCCAAATCGACCGTGTCAAAAACCATATCATAATAGTTTAATAATAATAATAATAAAAATCTAAGCCTAAAACCGAAACCGGTCCGGCGAAAGACGTCTCCGTTTTTTTAATGTACAACCGGTACCCGATCAGAACTGGTGGTCGCAGTATCAACGCAGTAAGTGTGGACACTTCAAGTGTGCTCTAGGAAAGACTTGCGACCGGTTAGGTTTCGGGGTCACGCCAAAAGTGAAACGTTGACGCTTTTTTTTTCTTTAAATACATACTGAAACTACTATAACAACGATACATAAGAACACGGTTAGTGTGTACTATAAGTACAATACAACGACGATGAGTCTATTTAATAACTAATTTTTTTTATAGATTGTGTTTGTAAAAAAAAAAAAAACAAATTAAGAAGAAAAGTCGTAATAGTCATTAGTAAAAAAATTGTCGTTGTTGCTGCTATTAAAAGTATCACTCGTAACACGTTTATTGTATTATGTGTTTAAAAACCTGTGATCGATACAATATTCGTATAATATACAACTAGTAGAAATTCTTGCTCGGTAAGCGTTTAAAAATTGGAAAACTAAACATCATAATTATCGTTGCAAATGATTATAAATTACACTTAGTCGACACCATTAAATAACGGTTTTTTTTTTAAATTTATATTTCAAGTACTACCTACTTCATTAATTAACAGTTTATATTTAACGATGTGATGTAAGAACACAGTCAACACTCGACATAAAAACATTAAAACATAAAACGGAAAGCGTCAACGTTGTTGTTTTGACAAATTGAGACTTAACAGATATGTAAAAAGATTTTAACATTGCGACTACACGAAACTTTCTTAAACGGATAATCTAGATAATATATTATAACGGTAGAAAACGAAACGACGCCGATAACTTTTGGTGCCTACTTTTCTTTTATAACAAAACAAAATGTATAAAATTAATGAAAAAAATAATAACAACAACTGCATCAGTGTAGAATATTCTAACGGAGAAAAGTGAAAATCGGATGATGCGTTTATATTATTGTAAAGAGAATTTCCAATTTCTGCGCCATACAGTAGGTATATTGTGTGGTATCACAACTCCAACGACCGTGGAAAGTATAATTATTTTCGCACCGAGCCTCTCTCGACCGATGGCCAACGCTGATAAAATGAAGAGTAGGTACGCAGAGATAAAACATAAAATAATAAAAAAAAGGCTATTTCCTGGAGAAACGCCTGGACAAGATGGATCACGCATTAGATAACAGCAGTGTGTATTTGCTTCACTCGAACGACACGTAGTCGTTTGACCTTTATTATAAATGGTATAGGCATAAATGGCCTATGGTACAGGTACCATGTAAACCATATGAGATGGGTCGACGCCGGATGACCGTGGACATGGCGTTGAGATATTTCGAAACTAACTACATTGAAGAAACTCTGTTAAATTAAAAATTAAAATAAATGTCACAACACGGATAGACTGTTAATATAAATAGGTAGGTATAGTAACCGAGGGGTTTGGAAGGCAACGTTTTTGTTATTGTTTTTATACAGTTTAGAAACACAAATACTTAAAAAAAAACATACACTGCCACACCATATCTTACAGTAAAACACTTAACTCTTTTTAAACATGGACAAGAAAATCTTGGAATACAGCAGTCACGCTAAAACCAGAAGTCCGGGACCGGCGGCGTACAATTTGAAACCCACCATAGCCGGCAAAGAGGTGACGCCAGACCCGACAGTCGAGTGGCACCCTAGATACACCTTAAAGGCACGGAAAATGGTCCAAGTGAGTCCAAGTCAATAGTGTACTTCCTTCTATATACATATACCGACGTTGAACGCGACGACAATAGAAGTGTGAAAACAATTTTTTATTTTTTTTAAAAACCGATTATAAACAATAAACGAAAGACTATGTCGAAGCTCGACCTTAAACGAGTATAGTATACCTATATACATGGCGAGCGGCCTTAAAAAGAGTATTATACGTTTTATAGAATACAAATTTATAATAATTATTAGACGAGGAAGTTTTTTGATGTGTATTAATAAAAATATGTCATTATCAGGGACGCTTAAGTGTCACCGTTTGGATAAATTTTAAGTTTTTTTTTTGTTTTAATAATTTTTGAAAACATATTGTATAATACTGTGACAAACCATCGTCAGCTGTGACTTTGCGATTTTTCTCTATTATCGTCCCAAGTACGTTATAATTCAATATATCTCCCCCTGCCTATACCTCCCGTCGTCGACCAAAATATAATACTGCAGTATAATATTGCGCCGACAATAAGGTTAACAAATTACTTAAGGTTTTTTACCGTCGCTATATTATAATATACATGTGTTTACGCCGGATTTCTCAACAGCGCGCGCCAATAAGCGTTGTGCAAGTGTTATTCGGTGGTATTGTCCGATGTGTTTTTTTTTTTAATATTAATTATACATTGGTCAGTATATAATAATGCACGTACCACGGCGTTATTATGTACATGAGATTGAACAATTGTAATATACTCCTCCCCCTCCGTTACGGTAGCCGAAAATTGAAATAAATAACAAAAAAAAATCCACTTCGGTAAACCGATCGCGGCCGATGAATACAACGTCATTAAGTGCGCCACCGTACACGGAGTTGGCCCAGCGTTATAGGAGTGAAAGGTGAACGTTACAGTATTAATATACTATTTGAATATAATACACGGTAAATTGTAATACACCAAAACCGTATAGAGCGGCCAAGTAGTCAATTTTTTTCATTATATATGGCAATGCCACCGATCTTCCAACGCCAGTGATATTTGTATTTTATTTTATGAATAGCCGTCAAGTTATTAATTACTCTATTGACCGGACGCTTGTTTAGAATAGTGGCGGGTATATCCTTTTTCAGATAAAGGACACATCTTGCATAACAATAACAATATTATTATGTGATACGTTTAATATACAACTAGTATCGATTGTTGGTTTCTTCGACACTATAATTAATAATTAGTAGGTTTCAATTTTCGTCGACCTACGCGTAAACAACGTGTTTACGACACCGATGTGTGCACATCATACCGCCGCCCTGTAAAAGGAAATATTGTTTTGACCTCATTACAGTTGGTCTTAGTAAAATTACACTCATTATCACAGAAGAGACAGAGAGAGAGAGAGAGAGATAATGTTCAGCGTAATGTGCGGTATATCATCATGCCATGCACTGGGATGGTCGTACTACACAGTCAATACATTTCTGTGGTACTATAAAAGAAAAAACAAATGAAAATTGCTTTCAATATTAGAATATACTCGGCCGTTACACATTGTGCTAGTGACAATATAGGTTATAAGTGTTCTCCGACGCCAATATAATAAGATTGATATTACTGATCGATTGCGAGATAATCCAAAATTAATTCGACCCGATGTATTAAAGATTTCCATTTCACTATAGAATAGACATACAAGTATAGACATCATCACGACGACAAAGGGTTTTAGGCGCCGCTTGTTTGCCATATTCAAGAAGACTCAATATTGTGATAAAATATATTATCCTATTATACCTACGAACAGGGGAAAAAGGGTGTTTGTTCCATTTTTCACATAATGGTGCCATTTGACGGGACTATTTATCGAAAAGATTACAGTGCGGCCAACTTGGCGACTTTAAAACGGCTGATTTTGTACGCGCAGACTTAACAGTGTTTTTGCTCTCTTATGAAAAATCGTCATAAATGGACATCTATACCAATCTTCCCCGGTCATATATGATTACATTCGAGGCGAGGCTGTCAGGATACTGACAGATTGTATTGTGTTTTTCAGGCGAAGCCCGTGGGACCGGGACCGGCGTTCAACACGGCGGGTTTGAGCAGGTACGGCAAGGCCAAGGCGCCGAGCGCGCCGTTAGGCCGTCCACTGGTTTTGCGGCAAGACAACCTACCAGGGCCGGCCGACTATTGTCCGCAGCAACAAGATCACGTGCCCGGGATCAGGATAGCGCGACCGTTGGCGGCCTCGGACCGCCGGCGACCGAAAGAGCCGAAAATCGGCCCACCGGCGCCCAACGCGTACATGCTACCCAGCACGCTCGACGGGCCGAAAACCCGGATTGGCCGACCGTTAAAAGACAGAAATCCGCCGCCGTTTCCGGGGCCCGGCCAGTACGGCCTGGTTCGGCCAGACGTGTACAAGCCCGCTGCGCCCGGCCGGTCGATGGGCCGCAGAATAACGATCAAGTCGGTCGAGAAAAGGCCCGGGCCAGCCGACTACTATGCCGAGTACTGCGCGTACAAGCCGACCACTACCGCCGGTGCGACGTTTGGCACAAGACATACAGAAAAAACCGGCGTGTTCGCCGTGCCACCCGACAACGAGTATTTTGCGTGCTAAACACGCTCGTTAGTTTTCATTTACAGACCATCACACCCAAAACACGTTATAATATTACCGAACGCTATAAAATATTGTGTTGTACGCCAAATTTAAAATAAATAAATAAAATTTATATTCTTTACAAATAAACTAAAAAAAAAACCAGGCAAGTCACTTTTTTGAATCTAAGAACAATAAAAATAAAAAATGTTTAAAAAAAATGTTAAATTTATGTTTTTTATCATGTTTAGAAAAAAAGAACTAATTCGTTTCGTATCAAAACAAATTTTATAACAACAAAACAGCCATTTTTAAAAAGTGACTTGCCTATATTTTTCCCTGTACCCTCCAGATAATAAATAAGCGTAATCATGTATGCACTTTTATTCGTTTTTATTACGAACGAGTGCCTGCATTGTCGTATTGAATACAAAATGGGCTACACACTGCAAAACGCCTGTCATGACCTCGTCGGGCTGCAGACGGATTTACTGATTGTAATTTAAAAAAAAAACCATGATTTCTTTTTATCACCGTCGTTAAGATAACACACGGGCTTTGGCGTTTTGACCGACAATAAAAAAAAAACATATGGTTTAGATCACACTCATGAACGTTTTGAGCTCTTCTTTAAATCCTCGACTAAACAAAACAGTGATAAAAATAAACAATGGGCGTTGATACACGTACATTTTTGGGGGTCGATGCGGGTAAAATAGGTTTTTTTAAACACATTTTGTCAGCCCCCTAAAACAAAATCATTCATTATTGAAACATTATCATCATTTTCTCGAGTACACAGATCGAGGGTGTTTTAAATATTCAAATATGAGAGAGGGTGGCAACCATTGAACATTGCTTAAGGGGAAGTTTCGAGGAAGATTGATTCTTTTGTAGCGCTTAATCGCACACAGCCTATTGCGGTCGTTATGTTACACGGTAAATCAAAGCGCAAAACCGATGCAAAAATACAACACATACACACTGCACACGTGCCCACGTCTTTAAGTCAACCGAGCCTATCTATACATATATATGTATACATAATATACAAGCCGTTATGCGCATATCTTGTCTATATACAAAACCGATGACTCGGTGCATTTCCTACACCTATACTGCCGTCGTTTGTGCGCGTTTAATTCAATCCGTAAGCCTCGACCGCTCTGTAAAAATATGTAAACACAATAACATAACGGCGCAAACAATAAATACTTTTGGGGTGAACAATCAGATTTTAATTTTTTTTTCAAAATATTTTATCTGAACAGGTTTACTGTTTATCTCCATCTCGAATCGCCCAAATTGGCCGTGAGAAACGTCCAACGACAAAACTATAGCGAACGATTGCAATGGAAACATTAAAAAAAAAACGCATACATTACCTATAGAAAAATACGACCGTCATGTGAACCACGAGACAAGTATATAGCTGGTCCATTTACTCCACAAGAAGTTTATATTTTAACTTATTACCATACGAATTACATTTTTGCAACAAAAAAAAAACAAATCACATCCAGTAAATACACGAATTTCCCAAAATGGGTTTAGTTATACGGTATAAATGTATCTGTCTCTAACAGGTGTACACATTAGAATAAAGATAAAATTATAATTATAATAATAGTAACATGAGACGTTTTTATATTCTACTAGCTCTACCCCGAAACGCAATAAATTCAAAATTTAATCCTAAGAAGCTGTTCAATATTATGCTTGCGAATTCGTTCGACGCCAATAATGTATTCTACAAATCGATTATAATAATATATTCTGTTGGTGTTTTTATTCAAATATAGAATTTAAAAAAAAAACCATCATCTGTTTTCCTTGTGGATTTTTATAATATCTGCGTTTGACGCAAAACTAATAATTTATTAATATCTTCAAGCAAAACAAAAACTAGTTTTTACGGCCAATCCTCTTTTGTCGCCAAACAACGGACGCGTTTGAAATTTTAATACAATATATTTTTTTTCAACTCGTACAATGTTTAGAGCTCTCGGTATACTATATACTATTTTACACGTGTAGACAAGTACAATACACATATTAAGCGAAACGCAGTTTAATTACACCGACGAAACCCAAATAACGCCAATAAATACAATTTCGTACGCCAACCACGTCGACGGCAAACAGACGGTGTACATATTTATTTATTTTTATATTATTATTAAAATATATTATAGTACTATCTCATTACTATACGCACACACACACGGTCGTACAAGCCGTCGTCTCGTTTGATGTCTTGAATACTAACCCGGCTCTGTATAAAGAACACACTACCAGACTTACTATACTGCAAGCTATACAGGTACACCCGTATAATATACCTGCTACATATATAAACAACCTAATAGCGTTGGGGCCGTTACTAGAAAAACCGCCGTACGGGAGTTACGCTGTGTAAATATTATATTATATTATTATTATTATTATTATTGTTGTAACGCATGATGATAATAATAAAATGGTAAACAAAACGGACGGCCAAGATCCAAAAACACTCCTTGTCCGCGTGTCACAATAACGCCTGTAATCGACCGTGTCGAAACGTTTTGCACGACATAAATGGTAAAAAATAATTTAAAGAAAAAAAAATTAAAAAAATAGTACATAAAAAATGATATTTACCGTACGCGATTCGGTGCCTGTGGACATCTCTCACGGGTCAATTTGACAACAATAATTATGACATCAATTTTCAACTTAAACATGGTATTTATGATATTTTATACTAAATATTTTTTCTAAATAAAATAAATATACAACCTATATACTAAGAAAATTTCTATTCACAATCATTTGTATAATATCAGTATACAGTTCTCGGTCGATATGAAACATTGAAGAGGATAGGCGAACGAGTTAGGTTTGATTGCTTATCATTTTGTTATCAATTCCACGATAAATCCTCTGTAACGTCCCTCGGGAACCATTTCCATTAGCGCGATACTGTCCGGTTCTTTCTACCCGCATTAAAAAACGTTTACCGTCCAAACTGAACGGTTTCGCCGTGAAACCCAAGGTTAGGAAGAGTCGTGGCACGGCTGTTGTTATAATAATAATTATAGCCGGTAATTTATAATTAAATATATTATATATTTTGTCGTTGGTGAGCCAAAGCAGGAACCGACATGATAACGGCCAGTGATATTATTATCAATAATGCAGTCGTCAAGTCTGTTTTCTTGTATAACATAAAACATGCCATAACAGCTGTAATATGAGTATATATAAAGACTGTGTAGCAATTTCAGCTGATAATAAACGCTTGCCTATGTCGGTCGTTTACAATATTAGCTACTCTAAATCCCCCCGTACAACTTCGAGTTGAGACTAGCCTGCATCACGATCGAACGTATTATACTAATATCTTTTAAACTAGACAAGCTAGGTAGCACGGAAATTAAAATTTAAACCGTTCAATTCCAAGCAGCGTGTAATTATACACCGCGCCTTCTTAGTATATTATACTAACGCGCAATTTGCACAATCAATTAACCTCGAACGAAGTTTAGACGCTTTTCGAACATATTACATATTTTTTTCTACTGCGGTTTAGAAATCGAACCTAGTAAACATGGACATATTATTATTACTTCGTTTTGAAAAACAACCAAAGCGCGCTTAAACGGTCACAAACATATTATTATTATTATTATTTTGTTGATATTATTTATTCGTAATGGAAATACAAATCGCCGAGTCGGCTGACACGCTTTAAATCGGATAAAAAATGATGATGAAGGTTAAGAGGTGGCGGTGTGTACCCCCGAGGTACACAGAACTCGACACACACACACACAAATGATAATTAATTACTCGGCCACGTTAATAATATTATTTTAACAAATTATCGTTCCGGGTCTTATGCGACTGACTGACTGATGTGTTTTTCTCTCTTCTACAGCTGTCGTGTAGGACTTAATCCTAATTCCCAAAAAGGCGACAGCACAACGGCCATCGTACATACAGCTAATTATTATTATCAACGCGTTCTACTGCTGCACACAATAATTGTCGTTAGTTATTGGGTTATAATTTCGAGGGAAAACGGCGAGCTCTACGGTAGTGCGACCGGAGAATAAGTATTAATAATGTATTAATATTACAAAACGCACTCGAGTTAGTATTTAACATACGTGTGCCGTTAACGGTCGGCGGAAAAAATAATGTATTTAAAATAATAATTTGTGTGCTACCTGCTACTCATTGTTCTTACTCGTACGTGACAGCAAGGAAAGAGTTCAACGGTCAACGCAAAAAAAAATATAAATATTCAAGATAATATTCCAACGAATCCATATTGTAGAGTCTGTTATACGTTATGCACCGAGAAATGATAATCCCAGCGGTGACGATACAAAGATCTTGACAATATCTTGTGATTTATAGTAGGTTTTCACGATTGGCATTACTGTTACCGCGTATCTTGGCGGCGGTGGTCAAACACCAAAGTATAACGCAGTCAAAGCCCAAAGGACAGGTAAATTAACGCATGGCAAAAGACTATTAAAGAACAATAATTATTATCGAAACAGTTCTGCGATTTCGGTTACTACATCTTCAAAGAAGTAGCAATAAATGTCGCCGCCCTCGCATAATTGTTATTGCCCTCATAAATTCGACGATGTCGAACTGGGTTCACCACTATGTAGCGGTAGCCGGTACAACACCGACTTTAATTAATATCAATAACATTACACAATGTTGAATGATTGTTAAGTGAGCCGAACCGTCCGTATTCGACGGAGCAATATTGCTGTAACGCACACAAGACGAGGTCTTTCAGCCAAGGCAAATAATTACATTTAAACTGTTTTTTTCATCTTTCGCTGTTGTTGATAAGACGATGATGACTGGTTTTTAGGTTTTGTTATTTACCCACACACACTATACTATATTGTTAAATAATATACAGTGTTAACACTTTCTCGATTTACACATCCGCGGTGAGGTTATACACACGGTCACAAGGTGTAATGTAACGGATAATTATTTTAATG